CCGAACATGGTGATCAACAATAGAGGAAGATGATAAAGAGAAATGGGCGAATGAGTAGATGAAGGTACTTGGATAGAAAAACAATGCCAGAGCACCCCCATTTATAAGGGGTAATGATACGGTCATCGAGGCTTTGGAATACTGACCGGCGGACGCAACTACAACATTTTTGAAGAACCGAATCGATGGTGGTACTTTCACCTTGGAAACAGGAATCGACAGTGCATTGAATGATGTCAAATACATAAGTCCATGGGACATCCCGGTTGTCACAAAAGCTCGCACCACAGGTTGCATCATTGGTATGACGACACCGCGAGAAGCTCGTAGAGTCAGGTGTCAGAATCATTTCCCATCGCTTCATTCTGGGAAACCGGAGACTATCTGTATGCGGCAAAATCAGAGGGCTTAATTTCTTGCTATCAAGCCATTTCAGAAGGATATCTTGAGACCCCGAGGATGCGTAGTTGCGACCGAGTCCCCTCCCTTGGGCCTCGTCAAGGACCAACTCAAATAAGATGAAGATCGAGGCTGGAACAAAAGGGGGAGTTCCCAAGGCATGCGGGTAAGTCTGGCAGAGCTGGCCTACCTAGAGCCTGTGTCGAGGCGTCACATCTAGCCGTCCCATCTCCATGCTTTTTACAATTAATGTATGTTGTACTATAACCGGGTTCCCCTCCTATATAAAGGGAGTTCACACCACTTTGTAAGGGGCTACTGTTGCTCCAATTATTCTACACAAAATCAATAATATCTCTCTNATATCTCTCTCTCTCTCTCTTTCTTCTCTCTAACTTGCTCGTTCTTATTAGCTCGAGGCCACTCTTTTCATTTATTGTTTTCATACTTGTTCTTTATTTATTTCTCGGTATTAGCCATAAAGAGCCTTCTTTAATTATATCTTAACTGTAATCCCATTCCTAATTACCCCCGATAACTCGAGCCGGATATCGACCCCGAGGTCCTTCATCGACCAGCCTGAAGCCCGAGCAACAAGCCCCTCGGTTTGATTACTATCCCATTTTAGCTTGTATCTCATCATTAAACTTCATACCTAACATCAACTGCTCTAACAACTAGCATAAAAATAGATCATGTATTTTTAGAGTCCCATTTATAAATTTAATTGTTGTTACCATTTTCACGGTAAACAAGAAGGGCATCATCAGGGAGAGGGTTAGGAGGATTGGGGACTATATTGTGATGAAGTGCAATGAATGCGAAGACATAACTAGGTCCATTTTCTTCGCTTCAGTTATGATTTTTGTCCGGCAGATCATGGACGACCTGTTTCGCCTCCAAGAAGATATGGCTCAAAGGCCCGTAGCGAGACCAACCGGAGCAACAATGGAAGCACTTATGTATTCTTGATTTTATTTTTTTTCGAGTCTGTATTGCAGTTTCTTCTAGAGTCTGTTAGTCCATTTTGACTCTTGTTTTAGTTTTTGAAAATATTTAAGTCTGTAGGGTGGAGTGGTTGTAGTAGGAAAAACCCGGAATGTTTTTATTTTATAAAAATTGAAAAAATTAAAAAATGTGTCATTCTTTTATTTCGCATTTATCCCCTAAACTATGTAATGATCTAATTTATGCAGCGTCATGATACATAGGCAATCCCCATAGGATTCGATCATAGCCCTAAAACAAATAAAAGTGAAGAAAAAAAAGGAAGAACGGAAAAGAAAAGGGAGAGAAAATAAAAAGAGAAAAATTGAGTGGAAGAAAAAATAATTGCAAAATGAGAGAGCAAAAAAAAGGGCAAAATAAACGGGAAGTGACGAGAACCAAGTGGGAAAGGTCAAAGATATATTGGAGTGGAAAGAAAGGAAAAGACAGAAGAGAAAGCCCAAAATTAGGAGTGTTAGTTAAAAGCCGGGATGAAACATGCAGCCGTTCAAATACACAGTAGAAAATTTTAACTGTTCAGGTGCATTGCATCCCAAATGTGCGGTTGCCTATCTGTTAAATCTTAAACACTAACAAATTTGTTGTTGTCATTGAGAACAGGAAGGTGGTTAGTTTATTTGGCATTCTGGCAACCCACCCGTACAACACCAAGTCTAAACACAAGTTGATCATGGCTGGCCAAGAACTGGACACAAGTATTATCGATCCACCGAGAGAGGTGGAGGAGTCTGAGCCTGGTCTAAAAGAGGAGTTACATAAATTGAAGCAACAAATGGCCAAAATGTACCAGGCATGGATGAAGGGACATCCCCCACCATCATACCCCACCAACCCTGCTTTATTCCCACCACTAGCTCAATCTCAAGAGCCTCCCGCTGTTGATTCATCTCCACAACAGGCACCAAACTTCACCCCTTACCACCACTATCATGGAACCACTTCCCAAACAATCCAAGCTCTACCAGCCAAAACAACCCCATACCCCTATCTACCAGCTACCCCTATTTTCGTAGCACCTCCACCAGCTACAGTCCATCGATCTTCCAGTGAGCTGTTATTACAGACCCAAGATAATCAGTACTATCCCTAGAGCCCACCTTCAAAGTCCCAGATCATTACTCCTACACTCCTAATTTCGACCTCCCTGTTAAGACTGAGAAACCACCCAAAAACCCGGAACAGGAGGAGATGTTTAGGAATGTGAGAAGCCTGGAACAGTCGCTCATAAATATGCAGGGGTTGGGAGGACAAGTGAGTGTAGCCTACAAAGACTTGTGTTTGTTTCCGGACGTACAACTACCTGTTAGGTTCAAAATGCCCAAATTTGACTTGTATGACGGGCACGGAGATATCGTTCCCACTTAAGGGGATTTTGCAGCAAAATGAGAGGAGCCGGTGGGAAAGATGAGTTGTTAATGGCACACTTTAGCCAGAGTCTGAGTGGCGCGGCATTGGAGTGGTACACTCGTCAGGATCACAACAGATGGTATACCTGGGATGATTTGGCCCAAGCATTCGCTCGACATTTCCAATAAAACATAGAAATTGTTCCAGATCGTTTGTCTTTGACTAAGATATAGAAGAACCCTCGTGAAAGTTTCATGGAATATGGTTTCCACTAGAGAGAACAGGTACCACGGGTCAACCCTCCAATGGAGGAGGACGAAATGGTGGAATACTTCCTTCTGGCCTTGGAGCCTACTTACTTTGGCCATCTGATCTCGGCCATAGGTAAGTCTTTCAATGAAGTAGTAAAAATGGGAAGAATGGTAGAGGAAGGGCTCAAATTAAGAAAGATCATGAGCTACTCTGTCATCAAAGCAACTATGCAAGCAATCCAGAATGGCACTGGAGGCATGCTAGGGAAAAAAAAGAAAGAGGATATCGCTATGGTCGTCTTAGGATCGTGGCATGGCCCAGGGGGTTCTCCTACCCACTACACCCAACCTCGACTCCAGCTTCAAACTTATACCCCAACTCCATATAATCCACCCCAACACTACTTCCCACCACCAGAGCCTCAGTATTCTATCAGGCCACCCCAATATCATGTCCATCACGCACAGTCATATGCTCAACCCCCTCCTCACCTGCAATGGCATGCCCCAGCTCCACGAAACCCTTACCCACCTCCACAAACATATCGAAACCCCACTGGTCCAAACTTTCGGGGCAAGCTAGAATTTAAAAATGAAAGGTTGCAGCGGAAGAAAACTTTCACCCCGCTTGGGGAATATTATAGCAGCTTATTTCAAAGGTTGAGGCAGTTGGATGTTCTGTGGACAATTGAATCAAAAATACCAAACCCCCCTCCAAAGAACCTGAATTATTCTCTCAGATGTGCGTGTTGCTCTAATGCTTGGGGGCACGACACAGAAAAGTGTTGTCACTTGAAGAATGCCATCCAAGAGCTTATTGATACGAACCAAATTGTTGTCGAGAGCCCAGAAGCACCCAATATCAATCAGAACCCATTGCCAGCCCATGCTGAAATACACATTATTGAGATAGTGCACAAGGATGGGGAGCCCAAGAAACCTTCACAATCCGTCATGATGATCCGGTCTAGTGAAAGTAAGTCAGTCAAGGACCTGATTGTCACAAAAGCAACCTCTTCGATAGTTGAAGGATCGGCATACAAGTTGAGCATGCCAAATGATAAGTTAGTTGTGGTAGTTGAAAAGAGGTCCCCAAGTGATGTTGTAGCAAAGCAAGAAAAGCCAAAGGTGATCATGCCGAGAGTAGCAAGTAAGAATGTCATAATTGTGGAGTGTGCCTGCACGGACCCTCTCATTATCAAATCTATGACCCAGCTGCCGGTAGCTAACACCAAGACTGTCCCATGGAACTATGAGCAGGTGATAGTGACCTATAAGGAAGGAAGTGAAAGAGGAAGTTAACGAGGCCCATGGATTAACTCGTTCAGGGTGATGCTTTGCCCCAGAAGAGTTAAGGAAAGCTAAAACACTCAGAGACAATCCAGTTCTAGTGATGAAACTGGTCACTGAAGAAGAGGCGGAGGAGTTTTTGAGAAAAATGAAGGTGCAAGATTACTCCATCGTGGAACAGTTGAGAAAGACTCCTTCTCAGATTTCCCTGATATCATTGTTGATCCATATAGATGAGCACCGCCAGGCCCTGATGAAGATTCTGAATGAAGCTCATGTCCCCGACATAATCATAGTGAACCATTTGGAGAAAATTGCTAAGAAAATATTTGAGTCTAACAGGATCACATTCTCAGAGGATGAGTTGCCTTTAGAGAGTACGGACCACAATCGAGCCCTCTATCTCCCAGTGAAATGCGAAAATTCTATGGTCACAAGGGTGTTAGTTGAAAATGGTTCCAGTGCAAACATTTGCCCTCTCTCTACTCTAAACAAGTTAAAATTTGATGATGAGAGGATCCACAAGAACAATATATGTGTCCGAGGTTTTGACGAAGGGGGAAAAGACTCTATTGGCAACATCATGCTCGAATTGACAATCAGACCATACCATGGAGTTCCAAGTACTGGATGTGGCTGTTTCTTACAATTTGTTGTTGGGTAGGCCTTGGATACAAGTTACCAAAGTGGTTCCGTCTTCTCTACACTAGATGGTGAAGTTTGAGTGGGATAGACAAAAAATCGTCTTGCATAGTGATGAGAACTTATGTGCTTTCAATGATACCTACGTCCCGTTTATTGAGGCTGAAG